GTCTCATTTAATAGTCCTCTGTTCCTCTCCTTAAACCGCAAGAGAAGCTCCAGCAGTCTCAGTGCGTAGCAGCTGGAGGCGAACGCCCGAGGCTTGCATTCCGAAGCACGCATCTGGGGCTCGTGCACGCGAGGAGGGTTGTGAGGGCTAGCGAGCGTCGTCCTTCTCGCCGTAGACTGGAGGCAGAAAAGGCGAGCGAGGTTTGCGTCCAATAAACGCTTGCCTAGATTTTGGTGGAATATTTTGGTGTGGCTCGGAGGAAGGGAGGTGACAGGGAAGGTAGAAGTGAAACTAGAACTTCAGTTCCTTGCTGGCCCTGGGGACTGAGGAGGATCCTTTTCTAGTTGTGTCAAATGGGCAGTTCCCGCCATATGTCTGTGGGCTTTCCCGAATGTATTCCCGGTTCATTGGCTTCGCCTGCCGATGAATTGCGGTGAAGGTAGCTTTTGATTTTGAGCTTTGACTCTGCGGAAGACTCATCAGGGAGTCTCCTGTGCTGTGGGCCATGCAAAGGTTGACATGCACCTTCCCCTGAGTTCTTGGCAACGCTCTTTATCGTGGGCAGTAAATTGCTGTGAAAGCTTGTACCTGATCAGGCAGCTTGCAAAGGAAAAGGATCTTGGCAAGTGCCGATGCAGCACATCCACAAACATTAACTCCCGCAGCTGCTTGCGTTTCCTGGTGGAGATGTACTTTTTGCCATTTCATCGCTTCTCGCCGTTGTCCAGTGTAGAGCTGACGTCATCTTCTAAATGTCCTTGGTAAGCGCAGCTTGTTTTTTCAGGGCGGTTGGGTACACTGCTGTTTGAGGGACAGAGGGTTAAGATGGAACTGCTCAGCGGCCTCCACCACGAGATTTTAGTTCCAATACACTCCCGATTAACGTGTTGATCCTTTCTCTTTGTATCTGTATGCTGCTTCCTTTCTCGCACACGCAATTGTTTTCATCCCCCGAGTAGCAGGCGGCCAGATACCCACGCCCTCGCCTTGGCACTGTCGGGGGACCTGCGGCATTTTGCAACGCCCAGGACCGCGGAGCGATCTCGGTGTGCGGCGCAAGCTGCCGTCTAAGTTCTTCTGCGGTCGCTAGGTTGCTGTCTCAGGGTAGGCTTGATATTTGCACCTTGTGAAATTGGTCTTCGACCGAATATGTGAGGGAAGAGGAGCGGCAGAGCGATGGGCTCGAACGCACGGAAGCTTCTGAAGGAGCTTGACCTGCTTATGAAGGCCCGTGTTCCAAATGCTGTGTTTCATTGATGGCTACGCAAGCAGAAACGGTGACTGGTAAATGAAGCCAAAGTTATACCTTTAGGGGCGGGGGGTTTTTTGTGGTGTTTTTTTGTTTGGTTGGTTTTTGCTTTTTTTCTTCCCCCCTTCTATTTTGGCCGAACAGAGTTACTGGAAGTTATCTATGCTGTGCGTTTTGACTTCTCTGAAGAGAATAGAGTTCTGTAGCTGTCAGTATGCTTGTAAGTCTATTTCTCTCTGAATATATCCTCTCCCCACATTTCAGTAAGGCTTTTTAAGAGCCTTGGCGTCGCAAAAGCCCTTGGCGTCGGCACGTGAGGGGCATCCCCTCGAGGTGAGAGAAGACAGGCACGGGAAGAAAAGGAGAGAACCGCAAAATCTCAAAGTTTTGGGGGTGCTGTAAGCTCTAGTGTGATGGATATCTGACTGAGACCTGGTACTCGTAGAGGGAGCTCGAAGGCCACCTGTTTGAGGGTACACGCGTGCGTTTGCATGCACTTTTAATTAGGAGTGCACTCTGCGAATGTCCGTACTGGTCCCGCTGCCGAGCAGCCGAGGACATTGAGGACAAACGTTGGGTTGGAAGAGTGGGCTTACCAGCTTCTGTGGCATGTATGAGATACTTCTGATGTGGTCCTCTGCAGGAGCAGACTCCAGCGAGCGCCCTCACGCTGCTAATGTAGTCCAGGAAGGGTTTTTAGGCAGATTGGCTGAAGCGCAGGGGAGATGCAGGGGAATCTACTTGGGTAGAGAGCTAGGTCAGAAAACTGTTCAGCAGATGGGAGTGTAATGAAAACGTCTTCAAAGAGATCCGAGGGTGTCCCGTTTCTAGACTAGAACCAGGCTCGTGGCAAAGCATAAGCTTACAGATGCTTTTGTTCTGCCTTTTTTGTCTATAGCGATGCCGCTTCCTTCCTGCGACAGCTTCTCTCGGTTCTTTGTTTGCTAAACCTACAGAGAGGTAATTTCTGGGTAGATGGTGACTTGCGCAGATGTCGGGTGGCTGGCGTTGGCGTCTTTTGGGGGCTTTTGCCGCCTTCTCTGCTCCACGCCTCCTTCTGGGTCAGGGCAAGTGTCGCAGTAGAGTAACTATCCCAGCAGTGGTCAAACTTCTGGAAAAAAGGGTCTTTGCGCACTCGTGTTGTCGCAGCTCCTACTATCGGTACGACTGCTCCGTGCCACCTTTCCTTGCTCGTACAGGTACCGGACCAAGAACTCATGCAGAGTTGAAATTAGCGCCCTTCCTTGTGTGTGCTCTTTTGTACTTTGATGCCTTCTCTCTGGGTGGATTATTTTAACCCCAGATTGTTTAGAGAAA